TGTCGCTGTTGTTGTTGGTGGTGTTGTTGATTCGTTGACCCCCGGTCTTGCAAAGGGGCTGGGGGTTTAGGGTTGCTGTTTGGGCTGAAAAGCTGGAGGGAAAACAAATGGACGTAGTATAACTGTTACTTGTGATACTGACGGTCACTGCTTGTTCATGTTTTCCATTGTTCATAATGCTCACCACTGTATTTATGTATGACTTGTTACTCGTATGAGTTTATTCAGAACTACTACCAACATTGTGTGGATGATTAAACTGCTGCTAATTGTACTGGTTGCATGTTTTGTTGCTGTTCTGATATTGTTGATGTTGCTGCGCTGGTGGTCGTGGTAAGGAATGACGAAGACCAACTGACACAGAAACACGGGATAAGTAAAGCTTCAAACGCAAGTATTGCATACAACACAAACAGCAAGCAACGCTAGACAACACTCATAATCCCATCAGGAAAATGATAATTCACATACTATCATAACATCAACTTACATGACAGATAACGACGGGAAGATCATGTAAGGTTATCGACAGCTCAAGTATGGATGCCACTCACCAAACCAAGCTTCTGAAAGACATGGCAATTCGACATTAAAATATGATTGTCGGTTCGACTGTTTGGGTTTCGGTTTGTGCAACGCACCACTTAGCCATATACGATGTAGCTAAGTATTTTGGATTGTAAATATAAAAGCGTGGAAATATACCCTTAAGGTATCGGGCTCATCTATGTATGTATATATGTATACACATATACAGCTATATATATATATATATGTGTGTGTGTAATTAATTAGCTAATTAGTTAATTAATTAATCAATTAATCAATGAAATCAATTAATTAATTCATTAATTAATTAATTCAGTGTGTAAGTATGTATGTATGTACGTACGTACGTACGTACGTAGGTATGTATGTATGTATGTATGTATGTATGTATCGAGTGTACGAATATGTGCATGGATGTCTGTAAACGTGTGGATGTTTCGACAGGCCCTGAGTTCAACAGTTCCGACGGCCTGCATCATGTTGCAAGGTTTGGGTGTACCACTGTCGGATTGAGTTCATGCCGCTGGACGAGCTCTGCAAGGCCTCCAGTGTTTTTCTTTTATCGGGCATGTCCGGAGCGAAGCTGATGAACTCAGAGCCTTGGAGAAAAGATGCAGCAGCTGAAAGCGTGTGGCAGGCCGTGCCTTATGTGGCGGTCTCGGCTCTTGTTTCTTGTAGCTAAACATCTTGCTCGCAGAGTGGTCGAATGCTGCTAAGCTGTCTTGTCTCGATGCCAAGGTCACTCGGGAGCGGCCAGCAGCTGAGCACGCTTCGACTGATGCTCACCTAAGGAGGTTTAGGATTTTGCTGGATGTCAGGGCGGCCCGGAAATCCATGTACCAACCTGTTTCATCGGCTCCGATGCCTCGTTTTTTGTGCTGCTGTCCAGCTCACAGGTAACCGGTAGGTAGGCTAAGCCCTAAACCTCCAAGAAACAACTTCTCCCGCGATGTGCAGGGGCCAGACTACTAGTTTGAGCTCGAGCACTGGCTGTTCGCATCTTGAGGAAGTGCAGATCCGTGCGGAGAGCCTTGCCGCAGGGTTGCGTTCCCGAGTGTCTTTGAACTTGGTTGAGGACCAAGATGCCGCCGAGCACATGGCACGCTACTTGACATGGGCGGCCCAGGCGCCCAAGGTGCCAAAGGCACCGAAGGGCAAAAGGAGCCCCGAAGCTCCCGAGCGATCCCGTCTTCGCACGGGAGCAACCTCGGGGGTGGCCGTGGCTGCAGAGGTCCTCGGCCAAGCGATGGTGGCCATGAGCACAATGCAGGACAGGTTCGACCGACTGAATGTGGCCTTCCAGGATCTTGAGAGGAACGGTGGGATGGCCTCTGCCTTCAACGGAGAACGACCGGTAGCGGTCGACAGTGCAGCGCGCGCCTCCGAAGCCACAGTTCAAGCAGCAGAGTGCTGCTACGCAGCGCTGAAAAGTCTCCCGGCATCCACGGTCTGGGTGGAGCTGCCCGATCCCGTCAGCACAGCCGATGCGCTGGAAGCAGCCGCAGCTATCCTGAAGGCTGGCAGACTACAGCTTGCGGAGCTCGAGGCCTTCCAGGTCGTCACCTTGAATCGAATTCAGGCTCAGGCCCAGAGCACCTACCGAGGCCCCGACTTCCCACTTAGTCCTTTCAAGACTATGGCCCTCACCGAGTTCCCTTGTGGCCCGAAGCTGTGCAGTGCTTCTGGGACTTATCTTTGGAGTGAGGCTCGGGGCTTGCTGAAAGCTTTCGCCAACGGTCACAAGATTGACAGGGAATTTGGCGCCAGCATCTTGAGCGAAGTCTTTCATGTTTTCGACGATCTCATCGATGGGCTGGCACGCATTCTTGAAGAGTTGATCTGCTTGGAAAGCGAGACCGACTCGATGTGTCCCGCGTTGCTGGGCGCTGCTCAGGTTCAGAAGGACCTGTTGGAGTGGAAGCTAACCCTGCTTGATGATGAGATCAGCCAAACACGGCAGTGCAAACTGATAGAGTTCGTGGAGGTAGTTCTGGCTGTGGGCGATGCTTTGCAAGCCGCCGTTCAGCAGTTGCGTCGGAGACGGCGACAGGTCGTGGAAGGCATGAAGGCTTCTATTGAAATCAAAGCGGCCATGATGCCAGCCACGGAATCAGAAGGCCAGCAGCCACAGCTCTTTGCAGACTGAGCTGCAAGCTGACGAAAGCGAGCGAACGTATTTTAAGAAGCCCTGCGCCAAGAGTGGGTACAGTGACATAGTTTGCTCAGCCGCCAGCGCCTTTTTAGTTGAATTCATGAGACGCAGCCCTCTTGTACAGTTGGCTGCGGGCGACGATCGTTTCAGTGTCTTCTGTAAAGCACTAGCGGCATAAACGAATGCTTTCATTGTGTACAGGCTGCCGCTGGAACCGGGTTCTTACACACGGATGTCTAGACTGGATGAGCTCAGCGCATATCTCGTAGAAAGCACAAGCAAGCACTGCTCATTGGTCGCCGTGCCCTTGTAAGCTAAAGCAAAAGATCTCTGCCCAGGCTGAAGAACTTCGTCGAAACCACCGTCGTTCGTGAGCTGAAGTGCGCCCACAGCTTCTAGCAGCTCTCACGCCACAGGGCATTGCCTTTTCTCTGGACACTGCGCTGCCACCCGTACTACAAACCCGATAGTAAACTCTAAACCCCATACACCCTAAATCCTAAACCTATCCCTGGCCAGGAAGCAGCTGAGCAAGATCATCAGCGAAGCAAAGGACGTGAAGGTCAAGGCCGGGTCTGTTTGGACGCCGTTGCGTTGAGACGATAATCAATAATAGACTATATATTATGCGTTCATACTAGATTAGGTTTTCTTGTTCGAGTATCTTAGAGTCGACTAGGTGACAATATCAGGCAAACCAGTGCCTGTCGACGTCGCAGGTGGCAAAGCGAAGCAAAGCTGCTGCAACTGGCACTGGCGACACAGGCGGCACTGGGACACGGGCGCATACCACCAAGACAACCACGACGGCCAGAAAAGCATAACCAGCATGATCCGCCCTGAGGCATGGGCTACCAGGCTGAGCACAGGCTCTAGCATCACTGCAAGTGGATAGCATACATGTAACGGTTATTTTTTTTGCTGGCAGCAGTCGTCGTCAGCACCACCCTTGCCATCCTCCCCATCTTTCTCGTCATCCGTCATCATCTTCCTCCCATCATGCTAGTGAGCCCCCATCCCCAGGCGGAGATGCGCCAGAAGCAGCTGAGGCCGAGGACAGGTTGATGTGTGAACATATGGCATTTCAGTTCTGGTTGTATTCCCATGACACTGCGATGAAGCCACGATGCCCATGACAGCCAGTAGCCAGTAGCGCACTGGTGATGCTGAGCTGACGACGACCGACGATGATGACGATAGTTCTGATGATGATCACGATATCTCATGATGTTAATGATGGTGGTGATGCTGTTTTCGGCTAGGGGTCGAATCTGGGACCTGGGTTCTATTTGGTGCTTCAGGTTTTTCTTCAGTCGTCAAGTGCCAAGTTACGGGTATATGCTGTTTCGTGTAGGACACAGGGCGACAAGGCAGAGATCCTGAGTGACGGGTTCTAGGCCGAAGTCAACCTATGTGAACGCATGGTTCACTAGCAGGAAGAGAGCTTCCCGACAAGTGCACCATGAACAGAAACCGAGGTGTCGATGAAGCTGGATGTATAACTTGAGGCATTTGGGATCATGACTTTATGGTTGGCCGGGTTTCTCTCGCCCCAGCAATCCGGAAACTTGAAATTGCCCGACCTCAACCACTCTGAGCCCAACAGCTTTCTTGAAACCCCAAATCCTAGAACCAAAAGTCCGAGATAAGAAACCAGGAAAGATCCCAGAGCCCCCAGCTCACAAGGAGGAAGAAGAGCCCAAGAAGGCCAAGAAGAAGAGAAGCCTGGGCCCAAGCTCACAGCAAGCCGCAGGGTGACGGCTTTATACTCGGGTTTGGAGTACGGAGGTCATTGGTCATCATATGCCCTACTCGTACTAGACGAGACTGACGATCGCCGCACAACTTCGGTCTTGAGATTTCAGCGGTTTTACATTTAGCTTGGGGGATTTGTGAGTCTTAGTAGGACTAACAGTCAGTAGGGGTGAGAGGTTTTCGGGGTGGTTGGTGCGATCTGTAAGATCGAAGCGATGGCTGTTGCTTGAGTCGTCATTGCTCATGTTGTTGAGCCTGATCGGTCTATGAGTCTATCTTGCTTTGTCAGTGGACAGAGCATACTTAATTTGATCGTGGCGATGGCCACGATTAGTACCAATCCTCGTATTGTAGACGCAGCACATGGCAGCACAGCTCGACCGGAATTGCCACCTCAATTACGCGCACTGTGATGATTGCTGTTCCTACTGCGACACTGCTTCTCGCGTACTACCGCTGCCGTCCATGTTGACAGCATGAGCAGATCTGTGCTATGGTACTATTGCAGGTATCGCTGTTGCCAGCACTGTCGTTATCCTTTGCTTATTGACATTGTGACAAAAAGGCAGTGTTCTGCTCATGGCATTGATGCTGTTGGCATAACTATGGTAAGCGTGTTTGTGCGAGTGTAGCTTAGTGTAGGCTGTAGATTGTATACTTTCGGATGCTTGGACACTCGCTGACCAGGAAGAATTCTTGGAGCAGAAGACAAGGCAGAGGCACCCCGGCTCGCAACGAGCAGTCTCGTTCATAATCCTAAACCCCGAACCGTATTCTCGCAAAGAGTCCTGCTAGGAGGAGGAGCGAGTTGCAGATGCCATGGACGCAGAGGCTCTGACGGGGAGACTCGCCAAGATGCATGCCTCGCATCCATATGGCAGCACAGGCTGACGGAGGCGATGCGGAGGAGGAGGAGAGCCTGTCTTCAGGCAAATTCGGGAGAAGCGAGTGTGGTGGCGGGGTGGGGGGGGGGGGGGGGG